CCGGTCGTGAGAGGGTGGCTAGAAGAGTTAGTGTAATACCTGCTGTAGCTGTATCTGGCGCAGCCCCTTGCGCTGGTATGGGTGATGTCACGGACTGTAAGGATAGGTAATGTCCATGAGCTGTAATGGCATGATGTATCTTTACCAATGATGTCATACTTCACACTAAATGTTTAAAAAAAAAAAGGAAAAAAAAAAAAAGTTACCTGGAATTTTGTTTATTCTGCACCAACAGGTCTTCAAAATTTATCCAAATTTTATTATTTTATGAGGAAAAAAAAAGAAATTTGTGTAGATCAAATACGTTAAGACAAACAATAAGTGATGTAAATTGTTGAATAAAAATTTTAAAGTTTGTGGGTGTCAGTCTGACTTTCTTTATTGCGCTCCTGAGGAGCTTTCCTGGGGCTCGGGGGATGGTGCCTGGCTGACAACTTGGCTGTTGGTCCCTCAGGCCTGGCCACGGAGCTCACGAGTAGTGGGGCAGAGGTGTAGGGGGGTGTGTGTGCGCCTGGGGCCTTTCACCTTGACGTGAGAAGGGCAGGGAGCAAAGGAAGCCACCCAGTTTCCAAGAGTTTGGTGTCTGTGTGTGTGTGAGATAGTGGGAGGATGAACTGGCCTTGGTGTGAACCTCCCCAGGCTTTAGTCCTGGTCAAACTGGGCGGGGAAGAGTCTGGTCCCTGCTGCTACTGGCATAGGGACATGTGGCTTCAATCCCAAACACACAAGAGCAAACACCCACCAAGCTGGTTTATCTTTTTCTTTCAGTCACATTTATTGGCAATTTGTGGCAGTTGGTACCGACTGGGAGTGTTGTTCCATAAGCAGTTGCAGTACAAGAAGGGGTGGTTATTTCGGGAGGGGAGTATTAGCACCAAAAGGGAGCCGGTGAGCTTTAGAAACCTTGCGGAGATGGACTGGAAGGTGAGGAGCTACTGCTGGACACGCCTGATGGATTGGATCTGGGAGGTTTGGGCATGTGAACCCCACTCTCTCCAGTGCTTGTAGTCTCCTCCGTGGTGGTCGGCCTCCAGGACGTACTGATAGCCACGGTACCCGGGATACTGGTAGCAAACCCAGCTGGAAGAAAAGGAGTTGTCAGGCAGCCGTTAAGGGGAGTGAGAGGTAAGCAAGGGGGTGCTGGGGTGTCCCCGCTCCAGCTGTGGTAGCCCGGCAGCGGCAGTGGCCCGTCCCTGCTGCCTCTGGCCCTTTGCCCCGGACTTACGCGCCGCACTGGATCTTCATGGAGCCCACTTCGTTGTTGGCCCAGCCCATGGCCTGCAGCGAGGGGTAGTCGTCAACTAACTCCCACTGGCGGCCGATAAAGTTGTCTTTCTCGAAGACGGTGATCTTGGATTCCTTGTGATTCTGGTGGGGGAAAAAGAGCAGGGGGTGAGGGGGAGGTGGCTGCTCCCTCCCTGGTGTGGGTGGGGATGGTGGGGCAATGTCTGTCTTGCCCCACCGTTGCTCAGAGAGTTTCCTGAAAAGGGAAGTGTTCAGACCCTGGGCTGTTGTTTTATTGTGGTTTCTTTTTTTTCTAGGGGCTAGTTTTCCCCAAATCCAGATGTGTGGAGGTGCTCAAAAGGGCGATGCTGGGCCAAGATGGGGCAGGGGTTGGCCTGGGAGGTGTCAGTGACAGCTACTGTGTTGGGCTGGCTGTCCCCCACGTCTGGCCCAGAAGTTCCCTTTAAAAGTCTGAGAAAACAGGACAGAAAGCAAATCCTGCTGGACATGGAGGGTAGAAAGAGCTGAGCCCACCCTGGGGAGCCTCTGAAACCTGCAGAGCCCCTGGTGTGGCTGTTT